AGTGGTAAAATACCCATAGCAAAATTCCAAAGTTAGTGGCAATCAGAAGGCAGAGTGTTCTTGTCTAGTAGTTTTATTTTAAAATAATTCATTTTGCTAAGATTTTATGTTAACAAATGTACAGACCAGAGTTTAAAATGATTTATCTAATTGATTCCTTTTGTTACCTGGCTAGCAGGGAAAAGGGGTCGAGGCCGGTCCTGACCTGTTACAATGAAGACTGACTTGCTATGTGGGATTACACCAGAAGCTTGCAGTGGAGTAATGGTAAGGATATCAAGCAACCTTAAGTATCTCAGCTGTATAGGAGCATATTCTGTTGCAAAAGACCTTCCTGCGAAGATCATGGATTCAAATATGGGACATTTGAACTAATACTTGGACTTTGAAATGAATTTCTTTAACAGTTTTCTCTGCAGTGCAAGTTATTAAACTAAAGCTACTCTATTTCCCCAATGTGTTCAACAAAATCCTTAACGTCTAGCATGGTATCTTAATAAAGAATAAAGTCGTTCTTTAAAAAATCTGCTTTAAGTAGATTTTTCCCCCAAGTTTTCTTAGTCAAGGATTCCAAAAGTGGTATTCACAAATTCTTGCATTTAAATTTTTATTGCAGTGGTATAGATGAATACCATCATTGGTATCCTTAAATTTTATTTCTGCTCATGAAGGTTAATCATGATTGTCTATATAGTAATCACTTATGAATTGTGTTCAGATACAGCAGTTTCAGGTGTAATCATCAGAGCTGGTTAGTCAGGCATTCCAGATAGTGGTTCTTTTCAGAACCTTTTTTAAAGGGTTGGTTAACTACCTCAGTAGCAGAGGATTGAACTATACCCTGTCTGTACTGTACATAGAAAATCTTTGTAGATAAAAGCAAGGCTTGTTTAATATGATATGAGGGTAAGATTATAATATACCAAATGTAACATTCTTAGTTGCCTTTAGTTCCAGAGGCTTTGTAAGACTTCCTCATGACCATCATAACAGGCCTTGCTTTTGTCGTATTTTGTGGCTGAAAAAGCAGCCTTGCTTCTTCAGATATTGTAGTTATTTGGATGTATAATAGTTTAGCAAGATGTTACTTTTGTAAGACATCAGATGTTCAAAAAAAGTGCATCAGCAACTTGTACTAAATACTGCAGTGTCCCTTTATAAAAGGTCAGACTAAAACTGACAACTGTACAGTGAAGCCTGACATTTGGATATTTTGAAGTTTTTCATAAATCATAGAATAGTATATGGCTGTAGTTTAGCTTTTTAGGTAAAAGGTATGTTTTCATTAGTGCATTTCTTATTGCTGATCACTGTAAAAACATGTGGATCGGCTTTCCATTTCTCTTACGCAGATCATGATAACCTGTAGAGTAGAGTAGAGTACAATCATTTGTGCTATGTTTTTAATTTTCTAAAGCACCTTGATGACAGTGAGTGTTCAGTGGTGAAGCATCCTCTATTGAACCACCCTTACTTAAAAAAGACAAAACAAAAACAAAAGAACCTTGCCAAGTCCAACTTCATATAGGTAAAAGATAAAATTATGACTTACTTTGGACTTGGCATAAAGAGCTTCCCTTAACCCCCTGCCCAAAGGGATACTGCAGTTATACTACATACCCATAGGCACCACAAGGAAAATTGAAGCTTATACCTAATTAAGGTTTTATACACACCAGTTCCCCCAGTAAATGCAAATTTTAACAAAATTAGACATGTCATATGTTGAAAATGCTCATGGCAAACAATCATTTTGCATTCCTGCAAATAAAATTGTTTTATACTGTAAGCTGGAGGCGAGTGTAACTTATTTTTGTAATAAAGTTTTTATTTTTTTTATGTGTCATTAATATAAATGTGTGTTAGTACAGAGATCTTCTGGTTAAAAACTTAGAATCGCACACATTTCAGTATGTTTACTTGTATTTACATAATTTTTAGAATAGTGGTTGCCAATAGCCTGTATGTTTCACATTAATTGATTTTTTGTTGTTATCTTAATAAACCATTTTAGTATGTTGTATGTCAATTACTGGGATAGCTGGGACATGAAGTGTAATTTAAAATTGTCAAGTATTCATTGGAATATGTAAATGTGCCTTGCCAGTTTTGAACTTTAAGACAAAGTAAGTGAATGATGGTGAAATGAGTAGTCAATGCGTAAGAAACATTTGCTACCACAGTTTCATATACTGCCCTTGCTAAAGAAAAGTAACTTTTTCCTCAAATTTGAGCATAAAAGTATACGGTTGCGTTAGCTTCTGAATTTTCAAATCTAGTGATAGAATATTAGGCTTATGGAAAGTGGGTTTGCTAATTGTAGCCTTAAGTATAATTTTGAATTTCAATGTAATCCTTGGTGCTGGCATTCCCAGTGCCAAGGAGTTTAAATGCTCCCTTCAAAGAGGTTGCCATGCCTACTGGCACTTTTACTGTCATACGGTTTTATAAGGAACACTGTCAAGATGTGGAAACCAACTTTGAACTTACTATAAAATGAAAACACTGGGGGCTATAGGAGAGGGGAAGTCCTCAGATTTCTTAATCTTGAAATCTCTCCATTGCTGAAAAACTTAAAACACTTGTGGGATCACAAGTGCTAGTGACTAGTTCTTAGTCTGGAAATGTGTTGGGGGCGGGGGGGGAATATATTTATGGAATTATAATAGTTGATGGAATTGCATAAAAACATTGCTATTAAGGCACTACGTGTGTTGAAATTGTGGATCATATCCTTAATTTCAGCTCTGATAAAAGCATGGGGGACTACTGTTAAAAAAAAAAATCAAAATTGACAGGAAAGTGTTTTTTTTTAATGGAATGCAAGCAATGGTGGGTGAGCAAAATATCAAGATCTTGACAGTGTTCCCTCTAATTATGAACTCAAGCCATTATAACTTTTAAAATTAAATATGATTTGCACTGTTCTGATATTGGTGCAGTTTTTTAGCAAAATGATCAGAAAACTAAATTGCATGTGGTGATTAATATTGTGGAAAAAAACTAAAATCAAAAAACTGTTATTTTCAAAGCTTTAAATTTGATTGTGTAAAGAAAAACCATTCATTATTAAGTGGAAATAATGGTGAGAATGGGCAAGTGCATATATACAACATCAGTTTGTTTGCACTTGGGTGTTGGTAAACTTGAAATGTTCTACAGCAATAACGCATCTCTTACTGGGTGCTTTGGTGACAAATGGACATGTAACACATTCTTTTTGGCATGTTGAAGGCAAGTGTTGACTTAATGTATTATGCTGCCTCTGTTTATTCTCATGGGAGGCTTTCTTTACTGAAACACCTGCACAGGTTTGAGTATGAGCTAGCATAGTTCCGCATTGGTTTGTAATGTGTTCCTAAATTTCAAGTCTAGTTGAATTTAATAAGAAATTGGAAACTGCTGCTGCTGCTTAACACTTCTGGTTTATAAACACTCCAATACACAGCTTTTTAAATTATACTCTTGTTTTAATATTCATTTTTGTTTGAAGGGTTTCATACAGGACATAAAACTGTACTACTTTTCTTTTTTTAAGTTCTTAAAGAGATTTGTTATGACCCAGAACTTAAGTTTGTGTTTTTAGTGTTGGAGGAAGGCTGTTGTTATGGATATTAAGACCAGTTTCTGAATTTCTGCATTGTACCACTCTACTGTCTTAAAATCATAAATAAGGAATACTAATTCTGTTCTTGTTGGGAGTGAGGGGTATGACACAGTTTAAAATAAACTTAGCCTCCTCTGAAGGTAGGATTCCCAACTGAATATTTCAGGATAGAAATGTTATATGGCTGCAACTCTTTTTCCCCTTGTGCCTTTGATAATTCTTCAGAGGCTTAACTTTTCTTTTCAGCCTAGCGGTTATTTTGATGCTTCCATACATCAGTGAGGGGAGACTTTTCTTTAAAGAAGTAAAACTGAAAGGCAACATGGACATAAACACATGTGTAACATTTTCTGAAAAGAGTGTGTGTTCAAGTTGATACATTTGACAAAATTAAGACTCTTAGTCCCTCACTTGCATTAGTGAAAACTTAGTGGAAAATATTAATTGTTTACAATGGAATAGCAGGTTTTGGAAGTAGGCAATAAGGCAATAAACTTTACAATGTAGTGTTCTGAGAATTGACATCAGTAAAGTTGGAGCTTGATTTTGTGTTTATGGCCTGAAGCTTATGAATCCCAACTTTATGACTGGCTGTAAGAGACTTAAAAGTCTGTCTTTGCCGAGTGTCTTGCTGAATTAACTCCAGCACCAGCACATGACATCTCTTGGCTGGGGCTAGTTAGTTGCATTAGTTGGGCAGAGGAAACACCAAATGGTACTTTGTCATTTGCTCTGTCAGATAAAAATGATATGTTGTAACAGGAGAGGAAGTCGAGCTGAATATTCCTTGATCCTTAGTAGGGGTAGTGGGGGGGAGGAGAAATAAATGATTGTTACTTTACAGCCACCTAGTGCAAACAAACATAAAGCTTCCTAGAAGCTCTGATGTTAAACATTTTCTGGGTCACCGATTTTTCACATCGTCATCTAGTCAACACTTTGCAAGTGTTTAATTATACTTACTCGTGTTATAAAATGAAAGAGTGACTTTTCTGTGGTGCTCCTTTGCCTTGACTGTTACAATAGACAGATTTGTTGAAAAGTGCCACTAGGACTAGCTTGTTAGTTTACTTGGAATTTGGAGAGAGGGGTGATTGTCTCATGTAATGATATCTTTTTCTTGCCAATGTTAACTGGTTACTAGGTTTTTTCCCCCCACAAACATACATATTTTTAAATGGCCAGCTCTCAAGTGGATGTTGCATAGCTGACCTCATCTGGAAACATTGGGTGATGTTGATTATTTAAAGCTATCTTCATGAAAGCTTCTTTAGATGGTGAGACTTCCAGGGACCTGGTAAAAGCTTTTTTTAAAAAAAAAAAAAAAAGAAAAAAGTACCTGTGACAGTCTAGAAAACAGAGTCATAGTATGTAGGTAATAGGTAATTAAAGCCAGCTTGAATATTTAAAATTTGAATCACAAGATATGCTTTGGTTCCAAGAGTTGTTTCATTCCTGAATGTTCATGAAACATAGTGTTTACTCCAGAGCCAACACTTATTTTTTGACAGTTGTTTAGGTAAAACTTGCAGTGTCAGAAATCTGGATTCCCTCTAGTCTGATACATTTGGCTGATTAATGGTGATAGTTTACTATCTCTGTTTGCACAGTTAGTGTGACAATAAAAGTCTACTTGTTTTGGTCACTAACATGTAGAAAAGACATTGAATCTTACTGCTTATTTTCTTTGCACTAAGGAAGTTATGAAATGCATTCTTAGTTCTGCTACACAGCCAGTAGAATAGCCTATGCCATTTGACTGCACAGAAGATAATGGTAAGTAAACATAGACATTCTAGTACTTAAATGACTTGCGGTACCTAAAATCCAACTTCGGTAGACTGTTCAGTTGACTCCTTATCTGCAGTTATTAGGGAGGTTGTGGGGTTTAACTCTTCAATTCTAGTGTGTCCACTTCAGTGCTAAGTGAATGTTGCATGTAAATCTGTTGAGTGCAGTCTGATACTGTTACATGTTAAATACTTTAGACGTAAAAATCTCCGAAATGTTTCATAGATAATTCAGTATGTATTTTTAAACTGATGGGCTAGCAATCATAGTAGTTAAAGGGAATTTCCATGAACACAGTCTTTGAAAGCCAGGAACTGACTATATCGGGTCCTGAGTTCCTGGTTCCAAGTGTAGCATTTCCAGTTGTTCTGCCAGCTAAAGTAACATTTTTCAGATTTTTTTTTTCTCTTTAGTGGGATGAAGAATGCACGTAATTCTGTCACTAGTAGTGTTATTTAAAAACTATTACTAAACATAGCTAATTTGGGATTAAAAAGCTTCCTCTGTGAGAATTTCAACAAAGGCAATTTTGGAGATACCCATTAGTAAATTAGGGCTTCTCTTAAGGTACGGTTTCAGTATTCTTAAGAATGAAGCTCTGTATTACAAGACACTGGTGAGAGCTAGCTTAAAATAAATTATAATTAAATCTTTTCATGATGCAGATGTATCACAATTGGAAGGTGATTTTAATCTTTAATGATACAGCATTTGAGATGACAGATAAAAATACCTAGTCCCTGCATCTGGAAAAGCTGAAGTGGCTATCAAAGGACTTGTTCCTTTTTCAGATTGTGGTCAAAGGCTACCTTATTTCTTCCAGTGCAAACAGTTGTTCTAACAAACTAACCTGTTTCCAATCCACACTTTTCAACAGGATTTTTGAGTTTTGTATATGTGCTTAAATTGATATTTTTAGCAGAAGACAAACCTCCAGTGACAATCACTGGTATGTATGTGAGTAGTACTTTCACCAAGAAGTGACCAATATGTAACTTGACAAATGAGTCTAGACAAACTAGTCTAGTGAAACTGTCCTTTATTCATACTACCTACACTTTTACAGAAGTATGTTAGTTTATGCTTGCTTTTGAATTAGTGGTATGCATAAAAGCTACTTTGAAGAAAGCCGCAGCATGTACATTGTTAAAACCTGTCAGAATTTGCGAATGAAGAAGTATGCTGCAGGTTTCATGCTAATGGAAAACTAGACTTGAGTATAAAGTGTGTGTGTGGGAATGTCGTAACCCTTCTCACTGGAAGTCCTGAAGGTACCACAAGCTTTAGGTGGCTTTAATCTTTAGCAGTGAATACAATGGAAGCTGGATTCTTGTAGTTGAGTAATCTCTGCTGCCTTGCTCCACTGTGTTTTCATAATGCTAACACAACCTCTCAGAAAATTCTTTTTAAAAAATCCCATTATGGTATTAACATCAGTGAGATCAATCTTCCAGTTAAAATTAAGAAGGATCTGGAAGGTGTTAAATCCATTGGATTTAAAGTAACATGTGTGTGGTGTTTGCAACTTGGTTTTGCATAGAATTGATCTTAAAATGGGAATGGTGTAATAAATGGCACTTTGCATTTTTTTAATGGTATACTAATCTGAAATATATAGAGTTTGGTTTGCTGATGTTCTGAGCCATTCAGGTGGTCATGTTTCTGTCCAAGAAAATGATTTTAGTATTTGTATGGCATAAACTGATCAGTAAGTCTCAGACCTAATAGTTGTTTCTTTGAGGTAATTGGTCTTTTCTTAGGTTAACTGTTGAAATCAGTATGGATTTCTAATAGGAAGTAGAGAGTTTTGTTTTCTTAATAGCAGTATCTAAACTTGCAGAGTTTATTGCCCTCAATGTAACATTTCTGAAGAGTACTGCTTTCATTGAGTAAAGAGTGAGGAGGAATATACAGGTTAATGGTAAAAAATCATTGGCGACTAAGCTTTTGAAAAGTGAAGCCTCCGAGTTTGTAATGCGCTTTGAGGTGCGTTACGGTGTACTCACCATATGGGTACAAATGGCATTGAGGTAAATCAGGTAGTGGTCATGTCTCGGCAACGTTAGCTCAAAGTACCTTCGATGATGACCTATGCTAAAGCAGACTATTTAGTACTGAAGTATGCTGAAATGCTTGTGTAGTTTTACTGTGGAGTTAGTAACGAGCAACTAGGACAGTAACTCCAGTACAGCAGCAGGTAGATGATGATCCACTCAGATTTTTGTAGTCTCTGGAGGAACAAGAGACAGTCATGCGTAATGTGTTTCAAGCATCTCTTAAATTTCTAAGTCCTTCTGAAGCATCCTTTTTCTACTTTAATACATGAAGATGAAAACATGTAAGGTTCAAATTCTGCATGCAGCTTAAAGATACGAGGATGCATTATC